AATTTTTGGGGATTTTTTTTGAATTTTTGAGGATTTTTTTTGAATTTTTGTGGAAATTTTGGGATTTTTGGGGGATTTTGGGGAAAATTTGGGGGATTTTTCATGGATTTTTAGGGGGTTTGGGATGAACAATAGAGGAAAAAAAAGGGAATTTGGGGGTTTTGGGGGGGATTTTTTCTGAATTTTTGTGGAAATTTGGGAATTTTTGGGGGATTTTGGGGAAAATTTGGGGAAATTCGGGAATTTTGGAGAGTTTGGGGAAAAAATTGGGGAGTTTGGGGGAAAATTTGGGGGGTTTTGGGGTGAAAAATGGAGAAAAAATTGAATTTTTGGCGATTTTTAAAGGATTTTTTTCTTAATTTTTGCAGAATTTTGGGGAATTTTGGGAATTTTTGGGGAAATTTCAGGAATTTTTGGGGATTTTTAAAAGATTTTTTTATTAATTTTTGCAGAATTTTGGGGAATTTTGGGAATTTTTGGGGAAATTTCAGGAATTTTTGGGGATTTTGGGGAAATTTTTGGGATTTTTGGGGGGATTTTTGGGGATTTGGGATGAAAAATAGAAGAAAAAACGGAATTTTGGGGGTTTTGGGCGGGGCCAGCACCAAGCTGCTCACGGCCAGGTGCGGTTTGGGGGAAATTTGGGGGATTTTGGGAAAATTCGGGAATTTTGGGGAAATTTTTGGGATTTTTGGGGGGATTTTTGGGGATTTGGGATGAAAAATAGAAGAAAAAACGGAATTTTGGGGGTTTTGGGCGGGGCCAGCACCAAGCTGCTCACGGCCAGGTGCGGTTTGGGGGAAATTTGGGGGATTTTGGGAAAATTCGGGAATTTTGGGGAAATTTTTGGGATTTTTGGGGGGATTTTTGGGGATTTGGGATGAAAAATAGAGGAAAAAAGGGAATTTTGGGGGTTTTGGGCTGGGCCAGCACCAAGCTGCTCACGGCCAGGTGCTTTTAAAAGATTTTTTTATTAATTTTTGCAGAATTTTGGGGAATTTTGGGAATTTTTGGGGAAATTTCAGGAATTTTTGGGGATTTTGGGGAAATTTTTGGGATTTTTGGGGGGATTTTTGGGGATTTGGGATGAAAAATAGAGGAAAAAAGGGAATTTTGGGGGTTTTGGGCGGGGCCAGCACCAAGCTGCTCACCGCCAGGTGGGAATTTGGGGGAAATTTGGGGGATTTTGGGAAAATTCGGGAATTTTGGGGAAATTTGGGGATTTTAGGGGAATTTACTGGGATTTTTTGGGGTGTTTTGGGGATTTTGGGGTGAAAAATGGAGAAAAATTTGAATTTTTGGGGATTTTTTTTTAATTTTTTGGGGATTTTTTTTGAATTTTTGGGGATTTTTTGGGATTTTGGGAGAATTTTTGGGAAATGTCAGGAATTTTTGGGGAATTTTGGGGGATTTTTCAGGGATTTTTGGAGGTTTTGGGATGAAAATTTGAGGAAAAAAGGGAATTTTGGGGGTTTTGGGCTGGGCCAGCACCAAACTGCTCACCGCCAGTTAGGTCAAAATTTGGGGGGTTTAGGTCAAAATTTGAAGATTTTATGTCAAAATTTGGGTGTTTTAGGTCAAAGTTTGGTTGTTTTAGGTTGAGATTTGGGGGTTTTGAGGTCAAAAATGGAGAAAAAATTGAATTTTTGGGGATATTTTGAGGATTTTTTCTGAATTTTTGGGGAATTTTGGGGAAAATTTGGGGAATTTTGGGAATTTTTGGGGAAATTTCAGGAATTTTTGGGCATAATTGGGGAATTTGGGGGAAAATTTGGGGAGTTTTGGGGTGAAAAACGGAGAAAAAATTGAATTTTTGAGGATTTTTTAAAATTTTTTGGGGATTTTTTTTAATTTTTGGGGGATTTTGGGGGATTTTGGGAATTTTTGGGGAAATTTCAGGAATTTTTGGGGATAATTGGGGGAGTTTGGGGGATTTTGGGGGGTTTTGGGGTGAAAAACGGAGAAAAAATTGAATTTTTGGGGATTTTTTCTGGAATTTTTACAGAATTTTGAGAAATTTTTGGGATTTTGGGGAAATTTTAGGAATTTTTGGGGAAAATTGGGGGGTTTGGGGGAAAATTTGGGGGGTAATGGAGAAAAAATTGAATTTTTGGGGATATTTTGAGGATTTTTTCTGAATTTTTGGGGAATTTTGGGGGGTTTTGGGGGATTTTTTTTGAATTTTTGGGGGATTTTTGGGAATTTGGGGAATTTTTGGGGAATTTTGGGAATTTTCAGGGATTTTGGAAGAAATTTGGGCAGTTTGGGGAAAAAATGGGGGATTTTTGGGGGTTTTGGGGTGAAAAATGGGGAAAAAATTAAATTTTGGGGATTTTTTTTCTGAATTTTTGGGGAATTTGGAGGGATTTCGGGGAATTTGGGGAATTTTTGGGAATTTTTAGGGATTTTGGGAGAAATTTGGGGAGTTTGGGGGAATTTTTGGGGGTTTTTGGGCAAAAAAATGGAGAAAAATTTGATTTTTGGGGGAATTTTTTGAGGATATTTTCTTAATTTTTGTGTATTTCTGGGAATTTTGGGGGGATTTTGGGGGAATTTGGGGAATTTTTGGGAATTTTTAGGGATTTTGGGAGAAATTTGGGGAGTTTGGGGGAATTTTTTGAGGATATTTTCTTAATTTTTGTGTATTTCTGGGAATTTTGGGGGGATTTTGGGGGAATTTGGGGAAATTTGGGGGATTTTCGGGGTTTGGGGGCAAAAAATGGGGAAAATAGGATTTTTTATTTATTTTTGGGGCATTTGGGAGGAATTTTTGGGATTTTTGGGGAATTTTGGGATGGAATTTTTTGGGAATTTTGGGAATTTCGGGGTGAATTTTGGGGATTTGGGGACAGAATTTTTGGGGAATTTTGGGCTTATTTTTGGGGTGAATTTTTGGGATTATTTTTGGGGTGAATGTTGGGAATTTCGGGATGAATTATTTTGGAATTTTTGGGACGGAATTTTTTGTGAACTTTGGGTAAATTTTGGGGATTTTTGTGTTTATTTTGGGGGTGAATTTTGGGATGAATTTTTTTGGATTTTGGTAAATTTCGGGACAGAATTTTTCGGGATTTTTGGGGTAAATTTTGGGAATTTCGGGATGATTTTTTTTTTTATTTTTCGTGAATTTCGGGACGGAATTTTTTGTGAATTTTCAGATTTTTGGGATGATTTTTTTGGGATTTTCAGGACAGAATTTTTTGGGATTTTTGGGATGAGTTTTGGGGTTTATTTTTGGGATGAATTTTGGGGTGAATTGTTGGGATTTTGGGGAATTTCGGGACAGAATTTTTTGGGATTTTTGGGGTGAATTTTGGGGTGAATTTTGTGAATTTTGGGATGAATTTTTTTGTGAATTTTTGTGACATTTGGGGGTTTTGGGTTTATTTTTGGGGTGAATTTTGGGGTGAATTTGGTGGATTTTGGTGAATTTCACCCCCCCAGGTGTGTCCCGCTCTGGGTCGGCGCGCGGGGGGTGGAGTTCGACTGGAGGCACCTCCAGATGGGGCTGGACTCCAACATCAGCCTGGTGAGACTGGGTTATACTGGTTTATACTGGTTTATACTGGGAGGGACTGGTTTGTACTGGATTGGACTGGGAGGGACTGGTTTGTACTGGTTTGGACTGGGAGGGACTGGGAAAGGGTTAAAGGGGGTTTGGGGTTACTGGTTTGTACTGGTTTGTACTGGTTTGTACTGGTTTGTACTGGTTTCTATGGGTTTCTATGGGTTATACTGGTCTGTACTGGTCCATACTGGTCTGTACTGGTTTATACTGGTCCGTACTGGTTTTAACTGGTTTATACTGGTTTCCCGTGCCCCCAGGTGCGCCACGTGGCCGCGGCCACGCTGCTCTGGGCGTGTGGGTTACCGGTCCATACTGGTCCATACTGGTTTATACTGGTTTATACTGGTTTCTATGGGTTTTACTGGGTTATACTGGTCCGTACTGGTCTGTACTGGTCCATACTGGTCTGTACTGGTTTATACTGGTCCGTACTGGTTTTAACTGGTTTATACTGGTTTCCCGTGCCCCCAGGTGCGCCACGTGGCCGCGGCTGCGCTGCTCTGGGCGTGTGGGACACTGGTTTATACTGGTCTATACTGGTTTATACTGGTTTCTATGGGTTTTACTGGGTTATACTGGTCCGTACTGGTCTGTACTGGTCCATACTGGTTTATACTGGTTTTAAATGGTTTCTCACCTGCCCCAGGTGCGCCACGTGGCCGCGGCCGCGCTGCTCTGGGTGTGTGGGTTACCGGTCCATACTGGTTTATACTGGTTTATACTGGTTTCTATGAGTTATACTGGTCCATACTGGTCTGTACTGGTTTATACTGGTCCGTACTGGTTTTAACTGGTTTATACTGGTTTATACTGGTGTCCCTCGCCCCCAGGTGCATCACGGCCATGGTGGGTTACTGGTTTATACTGGTTTATACTGGTTTCCATGGGTTTCAATGGGTTTTACTGGCTCAAACTGGTCCATACTGGTTTATACTGGTTTATACTGGTTTATACTGGTCCAAACTGGCTTCTCACCATGCCAGGTGCATCGTGGGCACGGTAGGTTACTGGTTTATACTGGTTTGTACTGGTTTATACTGGTCTATACTGGTTTCTATTGATTTCTATGGGTTATACTGGTCCGTACTGGTCCATACTGGTCTGTACTGGTTTATACTGGTCCGTACTGGTTTGTACTGGTTTTAACTGGTTTCCCACCTGTCCCAGGTGCGTCATGGCTGTGGTAGGTTACTGGTGTATACTGGTTTATACTGGTTTATACTGG